TAAGTGAAATTACATCAAATTAAAAACCTTTTGCACAAGAAAGGATGCCATCAACACAATGAAAAGCCAACCTGATCGTGGATCACATCAAAAACCATTGATCTTACCACATAGTTCTTTTGATTGCTTTAATAACCAGTGTATATATGTTTGAGTTCACTGTCTCTGTAGCAATAAGGAAGAATTATGATGATGGTAAAACGTGCCAGATCAAGCATGGCAAGATGTAAGAAGAATTTAAATATAGAACACTTACAAAATCTTTAGCACTTTAGCAACTACGGTACAGTCCTGTGCTAAGAAATCTGTTGTTGTAAAAAAAAAAAAAAAAAGTCTGTTGTAGTAAATTCTTTTTCAAACTTGTGATATGACAAGAAACAAAATTGGAAGTGATGAGAATTGGAATAAAGGGAACAATAAAGGGAACAACAAATCTATCATTATTTGCAGATAATGTAATTATTTGCAGAGAAAACTGTAAAGAATCTTTAGACGTTACTAGGAATAATTGAAGCATTTAGCAAGTTAGCATGTCTGTGCTAGAGGCAACCCTGAAACTAAATTAAGGAGAGAGAGCCTTCACAGTAACATCAGGTACTTGCAGTAACTAGTTATCACTCTAACAGAAAGTGTAGAATGCCTTTACAGAGAAAATCATTAAACTTTATTGAGAAAATAACTTTATTAAGAGATTCATCATATATGGTCAGCTGATCTTTGACAAGGATACCAAGACTACATATGGGAAATGGATAGTCTGTTTAATAACTAGTGTTGGGAAAACTGGATATCCACACATAAAAAAAGCAATTGGACCCTTTATCCAATTTTGGACCATATGCAATGCTTTTGTGACTATACACAAAAATCAACTCAAAATGGACTAAAGACTTCATAAGACCTGAAAGTAAAATTACGAGGAGAAACATAGGGGAAAAGCTATTTGACAGTTGCCTTAGCAATGATTTTTTGGATGACACCAAAAGTAGTCAAGTAAAGAAAAAATGGATAAGTGAAATTACATCAAATTAAAAACCTTTTGCACAAGAAAGGATGCCATCAACACAATGAAAAGCCAACCTGATCGTGGATCACATCAAAAACTAATGATGTATTGTATGGTGACTAACATAACATAATAAAATTTAAAAAAAAAGGCAACCTGTGGAATGGGAAAAAATATTTGCAAGCCAAATATCTGATAAAAGGTAATTTTCAAAATATATTTGCAACTCATTGGCAAAAACAACAAACTATTTTAAAAAAATGGACAAAGGAACTGAATAGATTTTTCTCCAAAGAAGACCTACAAGTGGCCAACAGTTATATGGAAAGGTGCTCAACATCACTAAATCACCAGGGAAATGCAAATCAGCACCATAATGAGATATCACTTCACACCTGTCAGATGGCTATGATCAAAAAAAAAAGATAGGAAGTGTTGTTGAGGGTGTGGAGGAAAGGAAACCCTCATATACTGTTGGTGGGAATGTCAACTGGTACGTTGCAGGATTATTCATAATAAGGAAACAACCTAAGTGGCTTTTGACAGATGAATGAATAAGGAAAATGTGAAATATACATACAATGGAATATTACTCAGCCTTAAAAAAAAGAAGTGGATTCTGCCATTTGTGACAACATGGATAGCTGGAGGACATTATACTAAGTGAAATAAGCCAGATACAGAAGGACAAATACTAAGTACTACACGATACACGTGGATGATGAATCTAAAATAGCCATAGAAGTAGAGAGTAGAATGGTGGCTGCCAGGGGCTGAGGAAAGGGAGAAATAGAGAAGTATTAATCAAAGGGTACAAATCTTCAGTTATACAGGATGAGTAAGTCCTAGAGAGCTCCTGCCTTTAGTTAACTATAGGCCTGAATTACAATGCCTAAAATTTTGCAAAGGCGGATGTTAAGTGTTCTTATTTTACACCCCCCCACACACATTAATAATGATAATGATGATGATAAAAATAAGAGGGCAGGGGTAA